TTCTCGGGTGTTGGTAGTCCATCAGTTTGGACTTTGTGTTTGGCCTGCCGAAGGACTTGGCGGGGAACACGGTGTAATGGTCTTTGTGGACCATTTGAGCAAGATAGCTTATCATGCGGCAGTGCCGGACATCAACAACAGAGTCGATACAGCGACGCTATTTGGGAATTCGTGTCTTTCGAGAACATGGACTCCCGGAGTCAATTGGCTCTGACAGAGAGCCACTCTTCACTGAAAAGCTGGGTACCAAGTTGACTATGTCGACAGCAGACCATCAGCAGACCGATGGCCAAACTGAGGTTGTGAATCGCGTCGTTTAAGACGTCCTTTACAACATCTGTGCTAACACTCCGAGGCGCTGGAGCGCCATGCCGTCATTTGTGGAGTTAGTCTGAACAGTGCAGTGCATGCGTCTACCGGCTATACGCCGTTCTACGCGAGCGGGTTTATTAATCCTTGCATCCCATCCCATGGCTTAGGTTTTGGTGGGAGAGGAATAGCCGAATGGCTAGCTGATGTCAGCCCCTCACTGCCCGGAAAAAAAGTTGAAGACTTTCTGTATACCAGGCTGAGTGTATTATGACACGTTCGCGATGCGATGGCTGAAAGCCAAGACATGCGGACGTAAGAACCAGAAGAAATGTTGAAGATATTGAGGTCGGAGACCTGGCTTTATTAAATGCTAAAATTTTCCTACACATGCAGTTTCTGCTGTCTTTATGACAAAGCTCCATCCGAGGTTTATCGGACCTTTTAAGATCGTGTTTAAGCAAGCCTTGTGTATACGCTAAACCTTCAGAGAAAGATGCGTACCTACCCGGTGTTTTGTGCGGACTTGCTCAGCCGTACCAGGATCCGGCGCAAGTGAACGCGAGAGCGTTGGCGCCGGAGCGGTGCTCGCAGGCGCTCGACCACCCGGAAGCTGAGCCATAAACTGGTTTTGACCTCAGAGTACAACGAAATCAGTTTACAACGGCGCCAGGTGCCCCACCGTCGCACGAAGTGACATATCGCCTGCTCGACAGCTAAGAGCCCTCTGATAGAGCATGATAATCCTCAACGTGAGGCAGTCGTTGCGCAAAATGCTTTAGACTCCGAGGTCTTCCGCACAGCGGTAGGCGACCTCGGAAATATACTCGGCAGAGTGCTGACGACGATGGACTTTGCTTGAAGAGCATTGCGAGTCACCGGATGGCGACCGACCAAGTCGTCATCGTCCGCCGTCGACTTTTCGCTATGAGAATGGTGGCGTCCACTACCACGTGGAACGCCTTGTGGGTCGAAGTCGTCGACAGAGTCTGACCCAACATCTTGTGAAGTGGCCTAGAAACTCAAACTCCGAAAACTCGTGGACGTTTGAGGGTTTACTTCGGCAAGACTGCCATGACGTCGTGGACGCTTATGATCATGAGGCCTCACATCGTAGCGCGCCCCACGCTTCTTGGCAGTAGCTCAAGAAGTCAGAGGGCCAAAAGCTGAGCTCAATCTTTGCCCCTGAGCTGCTGTGGTTGTAGACTCACGCGTGTGAGAAACCACAGAGCTTGCAAGAGCGTGATGAATAATCCATGTGTCACAGGGCGACAATACACAGAGTTTGGCAGACTCAAATCGGAGATGGCGCTCAACGCGCACATCCACTTCTTTGTGGCTTCACTGTAATGTAGACAGCGAGGAAAGTTCCTGGTGCTACTGCACCCATCGCTCGCGGAGCTCCTCATCATTTGCAGCGGTTTCGCCAGGGATAAACACCACATGAATAGTCTGCATTGCGGGTACAGGGGCGCTCTACATGATCTTGAAGTCTAGCGCGATATCAATCCATTGGTATTTGTTGGGTACCAAAAAGCGAGCTCGCAGAGCTTTTCGCTGATCAAGCTCAGATTGTGTAGTGGTCGAAGGCCCAACTACGTAGACGCTTAATGATGGAGTGATCGCGTCTTTCGCTTCAGTAGCGAAACTCGCCGAGTGGAAGCCGTTACCACACGAGGGTGTAAGACCAAACGTGGATACGAGCGCAGGAGAGCCGCCATGTGAGCAGACTCCAATTGCTGCTCCTGTGCCTTGTTGAGGCGAATGGTAATAATACCATTTATCCCGGAAGCCGAGAGGGCGGGGAACGGACGTGACATCCGCAAGGTTTGGGCTGGGCACACGTCGCGCCATTGGCGCACTTCATCTTCCTCGTCATCCCATGCTGGGAAAGGAGGTGCGACTCGTACTCGACTTTCTCCAACTCCTCGACGAGAAAATTTGTCGCCGGGGCGAGCGCGCTGTGTTGCGCTCAGTAACCGAGGGATTGGGATGTGTGTTCCATGAAGTCGTGGACGTACTGTCCGTAGATGCTGCCTGTGCAGAAGAAGACGGGCTTTGCCCGCGGGCACTATTGGAACCCGCATGGCTGGGTGCTTTTGTGTCATAGACACAGATGATAATGCGCGAAGAAGGTCCAGGGGACGTTAATGGTCTTAGACAGGCGACATTTAAATGTAAATTGTGGGTATTTACAATTTTGATTGGGGGAGGTTAACGGGATTACACAAATATGAAAGGGTGGATCACACAAGATAATAATACCGTAATAGGGTGGATTACACAGGACGGTGTAATCACAAAATGGTGTGGCTACAGCGTCACAAGAAGCCACTACAGGGTCAGACTGTCAGTAGTTATGCAATATGTTTTACAATTAGATCAAAAAAACTAGAGATTTAAAATATAGGCTGCTTTAACGGAAATAAAACAGTTTAATACAGTTTGTTAGTTAAACGGAAGACTGTATGTGCATTGGGTTAAGGTTTTGGGTACTCTTGGAGATAGCGGAATGCGATCTGCTACACTCGTACTAGTTCTGGTTTAGAACGTGGGGTCAGTGAGCTTAATTAAGCTTCCTCTAAGCAAAGAGCTACGGCAGCCCCGCAGCCTGATGAGAAAAATTTGACCGATTGCCTCCTATTCTAGTTGCATCAACGAGACAGTGCGGAAAACGTTTGATGATGTTTGTCCTTCAGAGAACGACGACACCTTCACCATAAGCTAAGCCTCTCACTACAATAGGGCATAGCTGTAGCCATGGACCCAGCTATATAGCCGGCTACTTGGATTTTCATGGTCAATCTGTACCAGTCACGCATATATGCTCCTAGAAACCTCGATGTTTTTCATCTTGATCATCTCCACTTTGTCTTCTATACATCATACACACGATGCAACGGGGATACCGTGGACCTTGCACAGATGAAGCTTTTGACTTGAAGAGTTCAATCTGAACAAAATCACTGGAAATTGACTCGAAGGCCGATCATAGGACGCAAAAGCGTATCTTCTCAAATACCGAGTAATAATTCATCTGAATCATAAACACGGTTATCATATTCTTACTCGATCGTCAAATTAACGACCAGTGCATATGAACTTTGATAAATGGTTTGTGTGAGCCTCCAAACCTAGGTACTAACCCCAGGTTCGCTTTAGTCGCGAAGACTCATTAGTCTCTGCTTTCTACGTTGACGACTCTCAGAGGCGATCTGACTGAAGTCAGTTGGATGAATAAGTGTAAAATGCTGGCGCCAGAGACTGGGTAAACTAAGTGATGGACATATCGCAATTTTTGACACTTCCTAAAGGTCAGTATCAAAGTCAATAATAGATTTGGAAAGCCTTCTTCACATTTAAGAAACGGATTTACAGTCTGCAGTCATAATGTTTTTCATGCGGCCATCGAGCCCACCAACGCCAGATCTATTTGTAGGA